CAGATTCACAACAGTGTTATAAACCCTTTGAGCCAAAATGTGAGGTAAGCAATCAAACAGATGTCTGATTCAGTCTTAAAAAATAATGACTTGGTATTTCTCAGATGGTGACTTAAGAGAGCATCATTATATACATCCACCCATAAGACCATAAGATAGGCATTTGTTGGGCCCCTAACCAAAACGTTTTAAAGGATACTTCTTTTTATCACATCTTGGGGCTTTTTTTTTTTTTTTTTTTTTAGCTTTGGCTATAACTTCTATTGGTTGTGATAACATTCTGAGCACCAAGTTAATAGACGGGTAGAGATAATCTCTTTCAACAGATTGTATCTTCACACTTATGCCAAATCTGTATGGGAGGGATACATTTCTTTAATGTGGATTAGAGCTGTTTGTCAGGAGGCTTAAGGTCGCCCATGCCCCAGCTCTTTGCCTGTTACTTGGTTGCCTGAACATAAGTTTGCGAGAGCATTTCCGGCATTAGCAACCACCACCAATGGGCTTCAAAAGTTAGCTTCAGAAACCAAGTGGTCGATGTCCCTGAGACTACGTTCATGTTTATATACATTCTATGGGAGGACTTTTAAGAGATTTTTTAATAAGCTGTAGAAAACAAAACCACAAATCTAAATTTAAATGCATACATATTACATTCATGCCTCTCAAGACCTATTTCATTCTTGCTCAAGTTTTTAGTTTAAGTGTTAAAAGTGACCAGCACAGAGAAGAAAAGGTTGTGAATATAAACAATTTCAGTAATCCTGTCTCCTCCCCCCCCCAAAAAAAATATTAGATCGTATGAATTGTGGGTTCCAAAAATGTTAGTCAGATTAAAATCACACCAACCATTTTGCCAAATTCTCTGAACCTAATTATTGATTTATACTCAGTGGCCTTTCAAGAGCCACATGCCTCTGTCAGCACCTACTTTATGACACTCTTACATTTTCTTTATGATATCAGTGTGTCTAATTTGAGCTCTTTAAGCTTGAAGATAATTTAATGCCTTTTATGAATTATAAGAAGAGGCTGTTGTCCCCAGATCTGCCAGAACTCTGGGTACATTGAAACCAACAAATGTTAGGGTTGCAATTGGTAACCAGTTGGGCTGAAAAGAAAGGTACAGAAGTGCTCTGGAAGTAGCCTTTGTCTGTGAATTGTTGATGATGCCCAATACACCAAATTATAACGTAATAGAGATGTGACATGCTACACTGAATCAAGGTGAAAAGGTATGCAAGCATATACAAAATATCATAAAATGTCAAGCCTCTCATCTCACCAACCCAAATACTTGAAGAAAGGTCAGCTTTTCAATGGGTTTATCGTCAGAAGTAAAAATGCTAAAATCTTCTGACTGTTGTAAGCTTGTTTTGGGAAAACCATGAACTATGTTGAGGAGCTGTCTGAAGCTCTGAATTGATTTTGCGATGTAGATGAAAGTGCTGTCAGCATAAAAGTGTATTTTTCTTCGATGTCCTTATCCAGATCATTCATATAATAGAAAACACAAAATGTTTCAAAACGGAGCCCTGGGGGACACCTTTAGTGATATTTAAAAATATGATTCGTGGCCTACATTGACACACTGAGTTTGAGTTGAAAACTAATTTCTGACCCAATTTACTGTCTAAAGAGTGAAACCAGTGTTTCTAAGTTTTATTAGCAGCAATTCATGGTCCACTGAGTCATTTGCCTTTGGAAGAGCTACAAATAAAGCAGCACAATGCTGTTTTCTGTCCAAGGCACCAATAAGGTCATTTGTTATGAACATGACCACAGCAGCAGTAATGGTACTGTTACCAATTCTAAAAACAGACTGAACATGACATAAAACATTTTTCTCTTGTAAAAAACTGATTTAAGATTCATAGCCAGGGAAATTGGTGGTAGTTGTTCAACCCCGAGGGCTCACCTCCTTCAAGTAAGGACAGAACATATGCAGCTTTCAAAATTTTGGGGTTTGAGATGGAGAAAGGACTAAAATTAACAATACAAGTAATGGAATCTGCAATTTAATTCGGCTGCAACATTTAATAGATATGTATCCAGATAATCCAGACCTGCAGCTTTTTATGTTCTTTTAGAGCTATACAGACTTCACAAACTGATGTAGATTTAAAATTAAATACATCCAGATTTCCATCAGTTTCAGAAGACGCAGAGCATTGAACTCATGAACTTAGAATGGATAAAGTGTTTGTTACATTGATTGACTATGTAATCTGTTGTTTATTTAATGTGAGCCAACCACTATGTGTTCGGGGAGGCTTGAAGCAACCGTAAATAGTCATTGAATATATTTAGTAATTCCTCCTTGCATTCACAATAACCGTTAATATATGTCCATGTGGATTCACAGTCCATCTATAAATGGACTGATTTAAGCTCGATGCAGGAGGTCTCATGTGTGCTTTGTTTCCCTTTTGAATAAAAGTTCAGCCCTGTATCTCACCAGATGCAAAGATCTGCACTGTGTAATTATATGTTACATCTTACTGTTCCCTGTCATTGGCCTATTTACATCAATTCAGTTATTGTGACAGAGAGCTGTGATTCAGTGAAAAAAAAGATAAATACTGAAACATTATTAGATCACAAGACACATTTTTATAGATTAATGTTCAAAGTTTATGACACTTTTTTTTGCTTCACGTCTACAAGAATCATTTCACTGCAGGAACATGTTGTGAACAACACATGCCCTTCCTCCCTCCTGTGTCCATCTTAGCTGCATCCCTGCTTTCACACTCATGTAATTGCAATAGACAATCAGATGCCATCTTTATAGGCGCATGGTACAACTGTCATAATGTGTAAGGCTATGATAAAGCGCAGCCGATAAATCCTGTCAAAAGCGCTTATGACAAGCTAACGCTCCCCTCACCACCGCACAGTGTTGATTTCTCCTCTGAATCAGTCAGCCAGAGACACGGAGTCCTGTTCTTAGCAGATGTCGGGGACGATGCGTTGAAGTCATCCTGACATTGTTAATAAGAATTAATGAAGGGTGGTGGCGGATGCTGTTGCGTGGGTTGAGTGGGGGTCGTTGATCTAATGTGGTTGGTAAACTCAAGGAGACAAAGGTGTTGGGAAACAATGAGGAGGTGACATGGGTAAAAGCAGAACGCTTGTCTATTGTACCTCGTTGAAATAATTGAAATTCATCCTGAAGCTTTGCGCTTACTGTGAACAAGAAACCAACACTGCCTCTGTGATTGTTACCCTGTTATGATTCAAACACTTGAACCATCAATATCCCTATGGAAACTTTTCATTGCATGATGTTTCTGGATTATCATTTAGCTTTTAATCACAGCTGGGATTACAACGATTTTACAAGTGAATTGTGTTTAGCTGAGGTTAGCTTAGTTATGTAATGATTGGTATGGTATTATGTATGATTTCAATTTTATAGCATCTGACTGTCTTGTGAAAAGCACTTTAATGTAACCCTTCAAACTAGAAGTGTTTGTCATGACTGTTTAAAATAGCATTTTTATTCATTGTTAATTATAAATCAAAAACTTGCTGTTTGTTAAGTGTAGTACTATGTGCTAAATTCCATACCATGATGTAATTTCTTAGTTTATAACAGCAGAAGATACCAGCAAGAATATTTTATTTCTGATACTCTCATCATCTCGACAAGATCCCTTTGCATTGTCCCTTTGCACTGTCAACTTGATGAATTAGGCCCCTGTGCATATAATATAGAATAGTGTTAACTAATTATAGAAGTAAAGAGAGAGAGAGAGAGAGAGAGAGAGAGAGAGAGAGACATGAGTGAGCTCCGTGGTGAGAGATGAATTCATCAGTAAATACTGATGATAACTTTACCATGACCTTTGACCTCTTCCTCACCAGGCAATGAGGGCGATGTCAAAGTCCATAAGTGCGCTGGAGGGTGGGGGCACAGTTAGTATAATGGCTGGGTCATAAGTGGGTCGATCTCGGGCCGACCCTATGAAGTGTCTCTCCGTTCACCGTCAGAAGTGGGTGGCAAGGTCGGCTCTAATTGGTCCCTCAGTCCCGATCACCTGCTGAGGCCTCATCACCACGTCTGGCTCTGACTGCACTCAGGTTGGATAAGAGAAGAACCTGACTGTCAAGGAGCGACTGCCAACAGTTAGCACAGAGACAAATGATGAAGTTTAGTTTCAAAATGTATGACCTAATTATTTTACATTTAAGAGTTGGGATTATACCTAAGCAGTGTGAATGAATGAGAATTTTACTGTTTTAGCTTCAAATCGACACACAGCTTCTGGATGGCAGGTAACATTTATTCTTAAAGGTCTAATGTTTTAATTTGATTTATATTGAATGATATAGGCTAGATTGTAGCCTATGTTTTCAGACAATAATCAGACATCATCTTGACCTCCTTAAAAAGTGCTCTGAAATGCTAAACCCTCATGAATATTAGATTTGTTTTTGCTTCATCTTTGGTGTTCATTTTAATTTGAATTACTAATTGACACAATAAACGGTATTGGATTTGAGCTTGTATGGTGCTTTTCTAGGCTTCTGACTACTCTTATGTAGAGTGCTAACTAGTAGCGGCGGAAGTTAAATGTATTTTTAACCATCTTCTGTTACCACGGCAGCAACACAAACACAGTGAATCCAAAGCAGTTCATAAAGCAGAAACTCTTTGCGGGCACAAGCTTGATTATTTACACCTCAGAAATAAGTACAACTGTCGGAATCTGCACACTGCATTCTGTCCAAATGCTAAGATAACCGAGAGAACAAGGGCCTCTTTAACAGCAGACCACATCATAAGCTGCACAGAGTGGTCACAAGGCTTGTTCAAATGACTGCGAGCTGTTTTTTATCCTTCACGTCTTCTTCATGACACTTGCCACAAACACACAGTGAGCCGTGTTAAGGAGCTGCGGCTGAACAACAGCTCTGTCTTCTGGTTGCCTTTTTACGTAAGACAAATTCTTAAAGAGAAGCACACATTGAAAGATCTGCAGAGAAATCAGAGGTCATGAGCTGTGTATCCCTTTGATTTATTGACAGAGGGTGAGAATCATGCTAACATCTGATAATGAAAGCACTGAAGCTATGAGGTACACACACTGATATATGGAGGGTTGGGGTTTCACATGTGGCTAAATATGGAACGACTGTAAAGAATAACACAAGTATTGACGCAAAACACAAAACCACACAGTATGCTCGACTTAAACTGTTGAACAGTTGAGTGTATGTGTTTATGTATCATTCCCTCCATGATATTCATTAGCAGGTTCTATTGCCACAACTTGACTTGTTAATAGCGCTAATAGCAAACGGCCAGCCAGCAGCAGAAAGGCTTTCAGACGCACGGATCATTGTTCACATGTCACAAAAAGATCCTTCGGCCTCTGGGTGCTCTTTTTCTCTCTCAGTGGCCTCCCTTCCTCCCTCTCCAGTAGCCCCCGTGGGAGCGTGAGGGTTGAAATGACACACAGTGGCTGACTGTCGCCCAGGGGCCTGGGTTCTGGCCTTGGCTGGCTGGATCTGTGTGGCAGCTGGTGAGCCCGCTGCCCTCTCTGTGGCCTGCAGCATCAACAGTGGTGGTAGTGGGACTGATTGGAGCCTCACTCTGATCTCTGACTCTGGGGCTGACGCGCAACTGCTCACTGCTGCCCACACTGACTGGTGGAGAGGAAGTGGGACAGAGAGCGGGGATGTAATCAGGAACACACACACACACAAACTAAACTGTCTGGGAGTATGTGAAACATAAAGTCCTCCAAGAAAAAAAATGAACAGTACAGTCCAGATTAGGATGCGCGATAAAGAGACAAAACGATATTCATCAGGGCAACAATGGTGGAACAATGTGGACTCAGTTGTGATCATTATGGGGTTATGTTGAACCAGCAACCACATGTATACAGACAAACTGTTGCTGAAAATGCACTGATATGGCACGAAGGAGGCAGCTTTTCCTAAGGACACATTGTACTGGCTGTCAAGTATCATTGTCTTAAGTCTTTATTTAACCTACTTGCTGCTGCATGTTCAAGGCTCAGATACAACAAATCATGATTATTAATAAATAGAAAAACACCATTTTTAACATGCTAGTAGCACTTCACTTGCGCACAACCAGTTGTGTATTCCCTTTGAAAACAACCACATAAAAGCATACTTCTGAACGGCCCGAACAAACAGAAAAGACCAATGTAACTGTCTCCTATGTAAACTCCATAGTTCTGATTCAGATAGCCATCTTCTTATTGTGTTAGCACGTTGATATATGCTCCTCACCACAGCCCAACAGTTATACAGGGTTCTAGGAATTATCATTATTAAGAGCACTGACAGGCTTTCAAGAACATAAACCGAACTAGACTTTTATTAGCAAGCATTCCCTTAATGGCAGCTCCGCACCTCATACAATAGAACTGTTAGATCAAGAGCTGTTTTGATCTTCGCTGAATTTTCAGGTTTCCTAAAACCAAGAGAGCATACAGGAGTTCAGGGATGTGAAAAGGACAACACATTAAGGCAGGAATCATGATCCATAAAGTCAACAACAAAAATAGGTTGGAGTGAGGAATTGTCCTCAGGTGTGATGATAGTGATGATGACGTGGTGCTCTTGGGTTTTAGGGAGAAGGTCTGCCCCGACAGACAAGACGAGCTTGTGACGAGTCAGGCTGGGTTGGGTGGGGTCAGGTCTTAGTGGTGCCTGCTGGTGTAAATTCTGTTCCTTAGAACGACTAGGGGAGGGAGGTGGTGTCGCAGACCAGGGTGGTGCTGAATGTGATCGAACCATCGAGTCACATTCACATACTGCTCTTTCTCCTGGATGGGCATTTCCACCTGAGAGAGAGAGAGAGGTTAAGAAAAGAGACACATATGAATATAGTAACTAAACAATGTCTTGTCTTGTGTAAATGTGGTTAAAAAAAAACTAGATTATCTGGGATCTTTAAAAACTAAATGTGCCACAAGAAAAACTAAAGAAAGGTAAGAAATTGCAATATAAAAAAACCATCATCTAGAGTAGATTTATCATGCTTAGAGATGCATTTACTGCTCATTTGTTTTTACACTAAATTAGTTTATTGTAATAATTGTACTCATCGAATGTAAAATACTGGATGTCTTTGATTCTTTAGGCCTTTAAAGAAACTTAAAAGGACAAAAAAATCCCTTTCAAGTCAAATTGTTGAAATTTCCTGAAATGTGAAGTGTGCACACAAACAAACACATAATATTAATTAAGCACAATAAAAAACAAATGCATGCATTGCCCTCCATCCTTTAGAGATGTTATGTGAGATAATCTTCCCTTCAAGGTCTTAGACAGGTACTGAAGATGGTAATGTGGGGTTGATGTTAATGACATGGGGAAACTTCTCAGGCCTTCACAGACTCTTGATTGGTGAGGAAAACGAAAAGAAAGGAAATGGCTGAAGGGGTCTGAAAAAGTCTCATTGGCTAGCAGTACCCCAAAAGCAGTGCATGATGGGTAGAGTATTAAGTGACTGTAGGGCAAAGCCAACTGTAGCGTTCTAAGAAAAGTTTGACAAGGTGGTGTCACACAGACATATTGTCCTGTTATTACATAATGCAGGTGACAAAGTACAAAACACCAGAACACACAAGGACGTCCTTGAAGAAAAAAAAAACGTATTAGGCGTTTTTCTTTTTTGTGATCTAATTAATAAGCAGAATGTGGAAATCCCCCACATAGGCAACAATCCAGCCTAAAAGCATTCTAGCATCAGTCAGGTTTAATGTTTGTGTAATGTTGTTTTCCATGAATTGAACATCAAGACAGGCGCTGGTTAAGGGTTGGGCTAGCTGACCCCTGGTCCCTGAGGTTAAAACGCACACTGATTGCAAACCAAAGTGACGCTCCTCTGCCTGGTGGCGGGAGGCAACCTTCCATCTCCGCCAGAACCACTGACATCTCTCAACATGTGATCTCTCCCTCCCTCCCTCTCATTCCGTCTTTCCCATTTCTAGAATCACTTTTACTTAATCCTGGAAGGCATAACAAACTTGCTTGCTCCTGGTCCGAGGCTATAGATATCACTTTGTGCCACATCATTTTATAACGAGAAGTGAGAATGTGTTTATAACCCGTGTGTTTATTGCCAAGTTGCTTTTGATGGCCTTTGGCCATATGACTGGTCTGATTGTATGTTATGCACAGTGACAAATTGCTTATTAAAGTTGTGGTTTGACTGAAGTGAGCACTGATCGGGAGGGAAAAGGATGGATGAAGGGATGGATGGGTGAGAGAGTCCTTGGTAAATGGACTGAGGCAAAACAAATCAATCACATTTACCCCAGAATAGGCAATCCCCAACATAACTCTGGAAGAAGTTCTTAAATTAATCTGTTAGTTTTAGTCACCAAAAGCTTCTTAGACGTGTCATAGAAGGACATCAGAATGGATAACAGTTTATCTAACTTTAAAAAAATATATCTATATTTAATAGTAATAAACTGGAAACTCTGACAGAGATTCCTAACAGAAATACTGACTCAATATCTATTTTTGAATAGCAACAAACATCATCTGAGGAGAGTTTATAAAAAGAGCAGGTCCAGACTGAAACTTAATCCTAACCCACAAATAATGTTTGTTTCTTATTTACCCAAGATCAATTTGATTCAAAACAATTTATTCTATAAAAATCTTCTTGTCTTTGACTCATACAAGTGAAAGCCAGCAGATTGATTAGAAACACAAAGCGTTTCAGTGATATTAGGTACTAGAAAAGCGTGATCGTGTGAAACCTTAAAGGTGCAGAAGTGACAGAAAACGTAAGAGACTTACTATGAGTGGATGGATTCCAAAGTATATAAAAGCATCAGCTAAGGTGAACTGGTTGCCAGCCAGGAAAACCTTGTCTTGGAGGTAGAGGTTGAGATCCTGCAAGAATAATTTTCATTAAAATAAGGCGCTATGCAAATAAGGTCGTTCATTTATGCAGTATCGCATGTGACTTGTGTTCACGAGAGATGAATCCATTAAACATAAGGGAGAAGGTTACATTCATTTGAATCTCTAATGAGGCCTCCTGTAACAGAGGACGTGCTGTTTGTCCTATTATCACTTATTCTGCATTAAAAAAAAAAGACAATCTAAAGAGAATATGCAGCTCTGCAAAGTCAGACATTAATGTTAAATCAATACTTTCTTAACAAAATGTTGCTCTCTTGATGAGCACTAAAGACAAAAGGATGTATGACAGCAGGTTCATTAACCTATATATCTGTGGGTGCGTGAGGTGCATGGGTCTGGATCCTAGCTTGCGTGCGTGTCTGCTTGCTGTGCTATGTGTGTAGGAATAATATGTGACCTGGGGGGGTATAGCATCTCTGCCCATGACTGGGAACTAAGCACAGATGCTCTTCAAAACAGTCTATTTGTTTACTGCACTACCAAATGAATACGACTCTAGCTTGAAAATCTAATGAAGCCGCCCCAAACTTGGGCATCGTGATGCGTGTTTCTCAGTCCATGTCTGTGTGTGCAAAGTCGTGCATGGAAGTGCTGGTCCCAGGGGAAGAGACCATCTTTAGCACTTGTACATTGTGTGAAGGGAACACTCCATGCACACAGAGCATCTTGGGGGCAAATGGAGTTATTGTGCGGCAAGAGTGGGTGATGCCAAACAAGGCATGAAGACTGCAGACTTCCTCTCCTTCCACAATCAGATCCTTGCTTTTCTTAGCCTACAGCCATGGAGCTGAAGCCCAGTCGAGCATCAGAAGAGGGACAGCTCTCCAGACACCCCCACCCAGCACATGGAGCTCCAACCTGGGTCCTACCTGCCCCTGCCTTAAGTGCACACTCTATGATGGGTACATTCAAATTTAAAAAAAAATGCTGGCAAAGTTTGTAGCAGCATTTAGACAAGTAAAGAGTAAGGTGCCAAGTCTATCTGAAATTAAAATAAAAGTGAAGAACAGTGCAAGAATTCTTGAGGAAAGTCTTGTTGTTTAACCTTTGGGTAGGTCATGTACAGACATGAAACTCACCAGTTCCTTCTTACATCACACAGAAATGGAACAACGCATCATTAAAACTGTGTAAAATATGTTTAGAATGCTATTATAATACTATTGCAAATCATAAAGTCTTGTGCTTATTACTTTAGGATGTACTTTGTTAAGCTGTCTTTTGGAAAAGGGACTATTTTATATTGTTGCTGTCTTTCTACATGATTTATCCAGATACAGTTTCAGAACATTTTACTTTCCCTTTATACCAGTCCTGCGAATTCAGGCAGCTATCAACTAGACACAAAATTAAAACTGAAAAACTCTGAATCATGGCAAAAGTATTCAAACTAAGAATAACATGAAATTAATTTAATTACAATTTCCAATCTTTCAAAAAATAAAGATGTATTACCTGATAAATAAACTGAGAAGATTCAAAACTCAGAATTGATAAAGCCCATAATGCCACATGAGGATTTCAAGATAAGACGTTCTTATTTATGGTGCAGTGACAGACCCTCTCTTCACAACACTTAGCTTACTTTATGTTCATGCCTGATTGGCCTTGTTTGATAATCATCATACTACATGAGTGACATCCTGTTCTCTTTAGTGTCAGGTTAAAAATTATGAATTTCTTATCCGCACCCAGGGGTGAGAAAGTTTAAGAACTCCTGGAGTTGTCAGTTTTCATCTCTGGATAACTTAATGGGAGATGACTTGTGTGCTTGTAAGAAGAGTGTTAAGAACAGAGCTAAAACAGAAAGACAGGACAGGGGACCACAGGGCAACACAACTGAGCTGCTCAGGGCGACTTCCTTCTGTAAGTGGCACCATTAAAATATTTAAGAGGCCTGTCCAGATAACATGATGCCGCACAGCATGATTCCTCAGCCATGCCACAACAGCGTGTCATGCTGAGATGTGCGTGTATGCAGGCACACACACAAACACCACATGCTGACACAACAGTGCCAAGAGGCACCTAGCGTCCAGCGGACCAGTGGCTGGTGATCCATTTCACGCTGACTGGCGTCAAACACATTAAAGCATTTTTCTCTGTCGCGTGGGGCCATGTCACTAAAGGGCCATACATCAGTCTGTATTCCTGTTGCTTTTGCCTTAAAAAGATTTACACACACATATTCAAACACACATAGAAGCCTAGCTGTTGGACAGAGATAAAGAATGTGCTGAAAACTGAGATACTTTGGTGCCTCTCAAAGGTAGGGTATGTTTGTCAAAACCTGCTTCCTTTCAGAATAAAAAAATCAGAGTTGGCATCAGACAAATAGAAGCAAACACTGCATTCAACTCTGGGACAGACGCTATTGGACAAGTCTACAGAGAACAATATCAAACAGCACGCACATCCAAAAAATGAATACTGGGTGCTGAAAAAAAACATCCAAAGATAGAGAAAGGCTAAGTCTGCACACCAGAAGCTGTTCCAATAAAATTGAATGGAAATGATCACATGTAGTGTTTCCCCTTCTGATGAAGGCGAGGGCCCGAAATGCTACATGTAGTCACAAGTCTACAGACAGAAATCAAAGCTCTTTTGAGAACCAAAAAATATTCCCTTGTAAATCAACCTGTCTACCTTTAAAATGGTCTTAGTGTCCTCCTTTGTGCAGCCATCTAGCTTTGTGACTCTGTGCTCCAGCCACTGCTGCACCACAGCTCGGCCCTCTGCTGAGTCACCCAGGAGCTCTGGGCGCTTGGCTTCTTTCACAAGGTGACAGGCGATAGTCACCAGCCCCACCAGTGGCGGACCATTATTATTCTGTAACACAGGTACCTGCATGGACAGGTGAGAGAGAAAAGCCAGAGAGACAGCAGTGAGATGGGTAGAGAGAGTAAAAGACAGAGGATTGAATCAACTGTTTATCTTAACTAAGTTCAGGTATACTTAAGAAATTCGCCAGATCTGTAACATAGGTGAAAAAATCTGCTTAATATCTTTAACAGATTTTTTTTTTTCGGGCTCTGGGAGAGTGTATTATTATATGTTCAGTACAAGAAGTTGAGACTGTGCAAAGTCTAACACTAACATTAACCTTACAAATTTAACTTCTTTATCACGTTAAGTCAGAGAGTGTATGTCCGTCCATCTCTCACTCCTTTGCTACCTGTTCAGAAATTAATACTTAAGGTGCATTTTAATTCAGTCCTGTATCAGCCCACAGCCACTCCCCGCTCACTACACCTTTATGGACGGCGCATGCGCGAAGCATGGTGCTCTTTTCAATGTGCCGAGTTGTGAAATGAAGACAGCCGGCATCAAATATTGCTCGGAGTTGCCGTGAATGTGTTCCTGACTGTAGAAAAAACCCCAACATATTCGATAATAACTGAAGATAGATACGACATAAAGAAATTACTGTATTTTTGACACACATTAATAGCATGTTAGCATTATCTAGCTAGCTTCTGTGAGCTAATTTCAATAGCTTATAGGCTTTTAATGAATACAAAAGCGGTTGAAAGCCTAACACAGACGCCACAAATGAAAAACGGCTCATGTCACCTTTTTATCCCCCTGTGTGCTGTACTTGTTAGGCTTTTTTAATCCTAAATATTTCTCCAGCGATGATAGCTCCCGTAGCGCCATGTTTCTGAGTGTTTAAGGGGCAGTTCAGTGTGCGTGCGACCTGATTGGGTAAAAGTCTCAACTCCCGCCTACGGCAGTTTGATGGACTGTAGTTTTGACCAATAGAATCACAGAAAACCAATCCGTCGAGACATTGCATCAGTGGATGAGCCACAGTCTCTTTAATAGAAAAAATGAAAGCACCCTCAAATATTTATGTCAAAATGGAGAACTGTTGGCGAGACACTTCACATTTCTTTACATAAAAGAAAGCAGGAATTTTATTTTTAGTAATAGTAAAAATTATAACTTCAAACACAAAGGAAAGATTAATTTCTAAAGAGAAAGTAATATATACGGAGCCCCTGAAGTCCAGAAAAGTACAAAAAAATATATATCTTGTGCAACATATTTTTCTTTTTACTTTTAGGGACTTAAGGGCTCCGTAAATTGCTCTACTTTCAGGCATCGTTGAAAAACATTAATGGACAAGTCAGTTTCAAAGTTACAAAAGCTTTTATTTTAGAGACTTGAATGAATTGCATGATCATCACAATAAAAGAACCAACCTGTATAAAACATTAATTTCAACAACAAACCAAAATAAATTACTTAGTCTATTTAATTTAATTTTACTGAACGCACAGGCAAACATCAAATACCAATTGCAGCCTGTCAGGTGAAGCCTTAGTTGTATGTGTGCATATCCTTGAATTCTTCAAGATAAACTCTGTAATCTCCTTAGCCCTAAGTGATGTTGTAAGTTGACAGTAATGTAACTTTTCCCCCCCAGAACTTCTCCATGAAGATTCATTTTTAAATTGAATCAAACAGACAGTGCAAGGTTTGGAGTTTCAGTCTTTGGTCCTGCAGCAAAGTTTCCCTGTCCTGTCGATCTGTTTCTGCAGTGTGTCCTGGTTGTGACGTTGAGTGTGTCGTGTCTGTTTGGATTTGCCCTGTGCCTCAACAATTTCTCCATAATGAAATGTCACCTGTCAGTCAAAACTGGGCTTATTAGCCGTGTACTGTCCAAGTGTGTATGCTTGTGTGACACCATAGAGACTGACAGCAGGGCCGAGGTGTCACACAACAAGCTTTGTTTGTCTTCCCCAGTGATCCCATTTTGTAACAGCTCACCTGGATGACATGGCTCCAGGTGATGTCTTCAGAAATACAAATCAAATTCATATTTTGGATTTTTATTGACCTCATTCAGACTGCAATAAAATATACAGGAGATAAAGAGTAAAGGAGATAGTTGTTAGCTATTCCATAAAGCCCACTGTGGCAACTCTGTGCTGCTGTTTATTTATTTACAGTGCCTGCCATGGACAGATTTAGGCATTTCAGTAAATATAGGTAAACCACAATTAAATGAACATGGCTTTAAAAGTACAATTATATAAAATATTATTAATGTATTGTCCAGAAGTTTTTGTTTTGTTACTGTTTTTTGGGGACCTCATGTTTATTCTATCAACCATTGAGTAGTTTATCATTTTGTGATGCTGTACTGTTACACTCATATGTTCAGTATCAACGTTTAAGAATGTAATCTACAAAGTAGATAACAAAAGCAGCAGTGGCAAAGAAACACTTCCTTGTAACAGGCAGAAACCTGGAGCAGAGCCGGACTCATGTTGAACAGCCATCTGCTGCAACTGTGTTGGGCTTGGAAAGTGGGATGGAGAGAGATCCAGGATAGAAACAAACGGAGAAACAACTACAATGAATAAAACAAACTTATGGCTACAATGTTATAATGGTAAAATGTATCTTGGATGTTTTTTTTTTTTTATTACATCCTTTAGAGAGGAGTAGTGTAGGCTCCTTAAACATGTTGTATGGCCTTCATGTATTTAATATGAGTATCTTGGCAAAGTATATAAGATTCTTCCATTTTTGTGGAGCACCACATTCTTTCACGTGTGACGTTTGTTACAAGTTTCTGATAGTCTCACGGAGGGACTATATATATATATTTGTATTCATTAGTCATTTAATTCTTCAGATTCCCTGTATCTGATTATACTTATTAGATTACTGTGAATATATAAAGCAGTCTAACACTGCAGTTTGGTGTTGATCTTCTAGGGACCCCTTGATGCTTATTTAGGCCACAGTTTTACTTCATGTGAAATGCTTTTATTGATATTTATTGCTTTGCACATACCAGTGTATCTTCTTTTCCACTCTCACAGAGTGTGCCTAATAAAATAGAACAGATGATATTTTTAAACCCAATTTGTTGAGAAAAAGCTGTCCCAGAAAACAAATTAATTATAAGAATGAGTACACAGACTATCATAAATGATTAGATGCTGTGGAACAAGGTAAAGCTAATTCTCTGTATTCTTTTTTAATGCAACCTCTTTTTTTTTTTTTTGCTGTTTGTTTATAGGCTGCAGCACGTCATACACTTTTTCCCTAGTAGGGCTTCCATAAATGCATGCCTGCAGCGTTAAAGTACGTCTCCTTTAACTAAATGCCTCCAAGCTGCCACATCCTGTCTGTACTCAGGCGGGCTGAGGACAGCGATCCCCAGTGCCCAGGACTAACTGTAGCCTGTGGGAGTTTTCTCATGCCGATTGTGATATGCAATCTGGGGTCACATTAGTAAGGAAATCTACAGTGGGGGTCACTGATAATGCCGTGGGGCTTCCCAATGCAGGCATAGCCATAAACACAGCCTCAGTCCTGGTAGATATAACCCTCTGTGCTTAGTCTGTAGCTTACAATATGCTGTTACACTGATTTGTCTAGCCGGGGATGCAAGGGCCTCAGCCCCGCCTGTCTCCTCTGTTACCTTTCATGACCTGTGAGAGCTCTCTGACTGAACACTGTGTTTAAACCACACAGATGCTTTCAGAAGGAGAGGGGAGGGATTGGTTGTGAGTGGTCGACATGAACACTGTCAGCACGGATTGGTGAAATTGCATATTGGTGCTAGGTTGGATCCCTGGCGTGGAGTGAACACGAGGACGGGCGTCAGGCTGCTGGGTGACAGTTTGGGAAAAGGCTGCGAAATGTAGAATGAAGACAGGCAGATGTACGTGGGTCGGGGTGCTGCCTGTACCTTTCACTCCTGTCAGGTTTTTATTTTTGATTTGATTTGAACCAAAAAGCTTTATGGAGGTTTACTTTGGGAAGAAACTAAAATAAACATACATATTGGTAAATGTGTTTGTATTGTATAGTGAGCTGGCTTTAAGATAACAACAATTATTATGCGTTTTAAGTGAGACAACAGCTGTAAAATACTAATTCTTGGGCCCTTTATTTTCTTCACATCTTACTTCTTTTTAATAAACGGAACACAATCAACCAAATTAAACTTTTAATAAACCACTATAGTTTGTAGTGTTATTATTATTTGTTCCATTTTGTGAATGTAAAAAATGAGTCAGAACAGCCTGTCAAAAACAGTGTGCTAAAACAGCAGTCTGAAAACCATTCAACACATTACTCAGTTAGGAGTCTTGGTGAAGACTTGAAAGCTTAGTTTTGGAAGTTAAGTTGAACTACAGCAAAGCCACATGGGAGGACTCTAGTTTAACTAAAGCTCCTTGAGAAGAGTAGCTCTAAAAACAATAAAAAGACAGTGTGGTAATTTAAACACTATTGAAAAAAAATCGTAATAGGCTGCTATAAATAGTCAACTTTACATTTAGCAACACAAAAGTTTTGAAAAAAAATATTTCAACATCTGGATCACTTTGCAAAAAAAAGAAACATAGTTAAACAACCAGCAAGATAGATGATGCTAAAAGTAATAGTTTGATCTCATGTTATTCCCTTTACTTCCAAAAGCTGGTTCACTACCACATAAAATGGAAATATGCAGCAAAGCCTTCAGAGACGAATCTGGAACCAAACAAATGTTAGTGAAATTTACCCTCCAAAAGCAGATGATATTTAGACACACACAGTTATTCTAAAAACAGACGTCTTTCCAGACGTAATCATATCTTAACAGAAATGTTATCAAAACGCCCAAATCTCATCTCCATAACATTTCTCATTCATTTGATATCATGGCCTACTGCACAGTAAGTCACTCTCATCCAGTGCACTATAAGTCTTGTGGTAGTCCACACTGTGTGTCTTTTGGCTCCGGAGCTGCTGGCTCTTGTAGTGGAGTAGAGTCAGAGGATGCCAGAAATGTTGCACCTCTAGGCGGGGCCTTTGGGCCTTCATGACGACAACAGTGATGGGATTATAGGAACCACCCTGCTGCTCCGTGCAGAAACAGGCACCCATAGGCTAAAAACAACAAGCTGGTCCCCCACTCCTTCACGCACAAACACACGCACACACATGCAAATGAGTGTATGTTTGAATATGTTTACAGGGGGGATGGAAGGCTTGGAAGAGCCAGTGACAGGAGTGGAGTGATGACATTTTTGTGGCATTTCATGTCTTTCCCTTAACATTTGTGACACGAGATTAGCATTGGAAGGCATGCTCCTAAGTGTGTGTGTGTGTTTGTGTAGAAGGAGGTTGGTTGAGTCTGGATGATCAGGAGAGACCCCGGAGACAAACGAACAAGTAATAAAGGCACTTTCTCCATTTCCTCCTCCTCTGCTTACATGCCAACCCACAAGGCTGTGGGACATGCTGGGGGACACAGTACCAGCTCAGAGTAACAACAAACCCTGTCCCTGCCTCCCATCCAGCAGCAGTCACTTAGGACTATTAATTACTGCTCTGAATTTCCTCCTCCTTACCCGTAGCCATCCGTGTCCCCCTCAGACAAACAACCTCGGTGGGAGGATCTTGATTATTATAGCTTCTGAAAAGTCAGATTGTCTTTTATTGAAGTTGCCCACTGGCCATGCAGGTTTCTCTCCGTTTCTCTCTCTCTCTTTCTCTCATTCTTGCTCCGTGTCTCTCGTCCATGATTCAGACAACATCTTGGTGGAATCTGCTATCCTGGAGCCTCTTGCCATGGCGGAGAGGTCGATGAGTGAGACCGCCACGTTGTTGGAGGTTTGAACTCATGCAACTCACATGAGGTTATACGTTGCACAAATACCCAAACATGCTAAGCATTCACTCTAAAG